TCAGGTTAGATACTGTTTGTGTAAAGTATCAGTAAGTTATTGATATTAATAGCTGGGGTATTGTCATGTAACAATATGTTTTTTATTCCATGTATTGGTTGTTATCTGACTGAACTGACAGTCTGTGTACAAATCAATCTCCAAGTTCTAGAGCTTCAGTTCTTCTGTGACACTTGCAAATGAAGAATATAAAAGCCTTTCAAGTGAAATAGAAGATACAGCTTACACAGTAACACTGTAAATAATGTAGCTTAAAAGCTATGAAAGTCTGTACACAGCTTTCCGCAAAGCCTGACTACTCCCTGGCCCAGAAGGGGCTCTTCTCTTTCACTCTGTCTTGAAAAACCATGATGTACCAGCTCACCTCCTGAACACTTTGCCCTGATCATTACTGCCTGGTCTGAATACTCAAAACCACTGCTAATTGACAGGCAATTTGCCTGGCCATGCCATCCACCCTGCCTGCTTTCATAGCGGCTTTGTGCCAAAGCTGTTCTGCTACCATGAGCAGAAAGTTGCAAAGCTGACAATTAACTATATTTTGGTTCCCAAAAACGTCACAGAAAGAAAGAATTAGATGTCTCTCCTGAGCTAGGGGGGAGCTAACGAGCTGGAGAGGAAAGTCCTAGGAGCCTGGCCACTGCTAGTGGCATTAATGAGAACAACAGAAGGGTAGAGGAAGGTCTAAGTGTGTTGTGTGCAAATTGAAAATGAATGACACTGATTATGTCCAAATGTAATACGTGTAGATCTAACTCTGCCACCTCCACTAGCCCCCTGCACTATACTCTGGCCTAAGTAGGGACTTAGTAAATTTACAGAAAAGAAATTCCTTAGAGACTAGAATATGGTAATTTTGAATCAAGAGTACTCAAGTGATATTGCTAGGGACCAGCAACCAGCATGAAGAGCCACTGTGACCAACAATTAGTTCTGGTGGAGAGGATAAAATGCAATCCACTGAAGCAATTCGTTCCAAGTTTGAGCTCTCTGCGTCATCCATGAATGGGTGCTGGCAGAAGTAATATACCTTGCGCAAGTGGTTTTGCTGAAGAGGTTCATACGAACAGTGGAGATAAGCCCTACTGACCTCTGCACTTTCAAACTCATCTTTATTTGGTTTCTCAGCTTGAGGAGTCGCTGCAAATTTTCCAGCCCCATTATGAATCATGCCTTTCTAAGTCAACTCTGTTTTCAAATGCAATTTAGAATGAGCAGATAGAAGTGGAAAGAGCTAGCAGTGAGTTCTACCACAGGCAATATAACTGTCTAGTGTAAGATTAGAAAAAGTGATGGGTAAGAAGATGAATCTCAAAACAAATCCAAAGAAAAATCAACCTTGGTGGGCAGGAGTGGCAGGTGGATAAGAATCAGGTACAGCCTAAAGAAATAATGACAAAAAGGGAAGATGGCTACTTCAGCCATTTAAAGGCTATACTGATCAATATTTCACCTAGGTATATTCCCATTTTGGGGTCAGTATTCTTGGTCAACAGGTGCAGTGTGTCACAGACCAGATTTATTGAAAAGACAGACAGTAGAAAAATAGAAAGCCTTAGCCTAGCTATCAAAAGGCTGTCTCTGGCTCTTAGTTTGGTATATAATACATGTGAATGAGTACCCACATAGAAGCTGAGACTTTTTTTGAAAATGAATTACCTGCTTCTGTGTCAAACCTCATCCACACTTCAGTGAATCTGTTAAATGTTACTGTGACTGACTGCAGGGAGTTAAGTAACACAGATTTCTGGTTGCACAGGAGTAAAGGATACAAACTGACAAAGATAACACCACAAATAACTCCTATGCATCTTGACGCAGTGACAGGGAAGCTATGCTTTAGAAAGGGTCTGCTGCTTGGCCCTGTTTAGTTTAGTAGATTTGTCCCACCTATGAAACTGAAGTCTAAACTGTGCAAGTTTTTGGCTAAGAAGAGTGGATGAAAAGGAGGGGACACTCATGGAAGAGGTCATAGAAGGATTCAGAAAAATGAAGGTCTGGACTTAGCAGAGCTTGCCCCACAATGGCACAGACTTACAAGTGGTCTTCTGTTTCTCCTTACTCTGATTACATACAGCCTTTGAGTGTATGAGGATTTTTTCAAAGACAAAGTATTTGAGTGACTTTTTAGAGTCAGGTCAGTTATCCGAACCAGCTTGTTGGATCTTGGCCTCTGGAGAGAAACTCAGTTATGCATGTTTGGGTTAGCACAATGGAAAATCAAATAAGGACTACAGTCAGATACCCAGCCCCAGAACGGCTACACCTGCCTTACTTTTTGATCATCATATTGATGTTGCAACTCAAAAGACTGAATTACTTTGAAGCACAGCATCTTAAAATGTCCCTTAAAACTCCATGCTTAAAATCTGTTCAACAGTAAGAAAAATGGAATTGCATGGGACTATTCATGTGACAAAATCAGTGCTCTTTTAGGACTGCAGCAGCTTTTTTCCCCATCTCCTCTGCCTTTGTTGGCAAGCCTTAGGGAAGGTTTGAGCACATAAACCATGTTTTTTTTATGCCATGAGCACAGGGAAGTTTAAGGCTTATCTGGAAACTAGTGACTCTCAATATTGCTACCCTGAACATAAAGGGATTAATGAAAATCACAAAATCACAGAATGGTTTAGGTTGGAAGAGACCTTAAAGACCATCTATTTCCAACCCCCCTGATACAGGGAGGGACACCTTCCACTAGGACCAGGTTGCTCAAAACCCCGTCCAACCTGGGCTTGAACACTGCCAGCGATGGGGCAGACTCAGCTTCTCTGGGCAACCTGTGCCAGTGCCTCATCACCCTCACAGTGATGAGTTTCTTCCTAATATCTAATCTAAATCTACCCTCTGTCAGCTTAAAGCCATTCCCCATTGTGCTGTCATTATCTGCCCTTGTAAAAAGTCCCTCTCCAGATTTCTTGTAGGCCCCTTAAGGTATTGGAAGGCTGCTATAGAAATGCAGGAAAATTGTATCATCTTCCCTCATATTTTTAAATGGAAAAGGGCTTTCAGAAAAATAACTGTAAAACTGACGTGCTGCCTATGAGATTTTCTTTTTCTCTCCAGTTTGAATTCAGTGTTTGTTCTATCTTTGTTTATTTTGCTTTTCTTCACAAAAGACAAATCCAGCTGGTTTTATAATATGACTTCTGTAGTTTGGTTAGCCAGGTCTTATTTCCTCTACTAGGAAAGTTGTGGCAGAAAAAAGTTCCTGTTTCTAGAGACAGTCTTGAGACCCTAAGGCTTAGAATAGTGGTCATCAAACTTTTTTTGATAATACACCTCTATTAGTAATTTTTCGAGCATGCACCCCCCCATATATGTATATTTATTCATAATTTATATATAGCTGCATTATTGAATTTCTAATATTTTCTTCCTGCAAGGCAGTGCATTGTCTCGTGGGCTTAAAGAAGCAAATATATATTCTGGGGGAAAAACAGTACTAAATAAAGCTCTTTTTTTTTTTACTGGAAAATGTTTAGAATTGATTCCGTGTCTTAGCTATTTCTCTAGGAATACAGAGAATACAGCCCTGGATACAGCTACTGAAGTAGGATTCTCAGGATCAGAGGAAGCTCCTCCCTCCATCACTGAGGAATTATCAAGAAGGTAAATTTGTCTCTGGTATAAAAATTTCACATTTTAAGACAATTGTGGTAATTAATACCATTGCTATCTGGTAATTTTACTGAGGTTTAATTCAAAAGGTTGTATTAAAATGTAGAGTAACAAGAGGTCATTGAATGAAGTGCTTGTCAGGAACACGTATGTCAGCTACATTAAACAGAAAATTCCCCAAATACATGTCTTGTTAGATGATAATACAATCTTCAGATGAGATAATCAGAAATAACAGTGAATGCACACTTTTTTTAAAATGTGCTTCCTTCTGCTGAATTAATCACAGAATATTAAAAATTGCAAGTTGAATAAAAATCAACTGAATTTTTTTCTATGAATGTCTGATGTTAAAATACATTTAATATTGACACAATCCTAATGAGAATGTAAAAAATGTAGTGAGATGCAGAAATATCCCAACGATCTATGTATTAAAAAAGTCTAATGCAGATTTTGTCTATTCTCTAAAATATGCTAGTTTTCTAGTGATTTAGTCCACAGTCAGAGGTTTGCAGTCACGATGCTCAGGTGACTACTGAAAAGTGGCAGTCAAAGCCTTAGCAAATGGGCTTCTCTTTAGGGGAGCATGGCCATGCTACCACTTTCTCAGGGAACATGCAGGATTGGTTTGGTATTTGGCTGAATGCTCTGAGGAGATACCATATTTCTAGCTACGTGTTTTGTACCAGTCAGAATACATAAGCAATGTCTTTTGGAAGACCTTGAGGTAAACGAGTATCCTCTGATTTGATACCAGGATGTAAATCCATGGAGATTTAATTCCATTTCTGGCAGATCTACTTAGATGTGAGTCTTTTCTGTTGTTGGCATGATATCTTACTGGACTGTTTCTAGGTTGGTCCTATCTTTGGTACACGTAACTGCCACCCATGTTAGGAAGTGATTAGGGTTATATTAGAAATTTGGGATGTACTAAATTCGAACTCCCTCTGCTTCTTTTGCTCCTGCTTTTGGTACTCTGTTAGCTATTTTAGCTATTGCTCCTGTGTGAGATGGTACAGAATCACTGACAGATCCTGTAGATTATGACAATTGAGTGGAATCAGATATATCTGTTAAGCAGTGTGCCAGATGAGTTCTGTTAATAATTTTTACATGCCCTATTTGTCTCCAGAAGGACTCTCTCATGCATGCGCTTTGTGCCTAAGTTAGCAGCACAGTCTTGCTGATATTTTTCTTGTACTCCGATCTGAATGCTGCTGGGCATAGCATCTATTGCTTCTGAAGCCTAATGCTTTACTTCAGCTGCATCCCATCTCTGTTGCATGTGTACGTCTACTGCACATTGTAAATGAGGGGAAATAAACATCAACTTGAACAAATCCTTATTTATGTGACCCAAGTTCATCACTTACCTCCGTGACAGCAAAGCTTCTTTTCCCACATGGAACAACCTTGTACCATTTGTCATGCAGAACATCCATGAAACCATGGGACTTGTACTGACTTATCAGGTCAGAGATGTTTGAGGTGAGTGGAGAATTGGGGGGAAGACCAATACCATATCCTAGAAGGAAAAGCAACACAATCATTTCTCTTTTACTTGTCTGCTATTTGCTAAAGTATGTTCATTTCAGTTGTCAACTACCAGTGTGGCAGAACAAGCTGGTATCCTGTTTCAGCAAGCCAGTTGAAACCTGGATGCTGGCTTACCGTGGACTGAGAATGATGAGATAAGACTTTTTGCTGTGTAAAATAAACTAACCTAATACAAACAAGACATACACATTCAAAACTATTAGGACTAAACAAGTAGCATGTAAATTTGGAGGCTCAAAAACTTAAGATGGAATAACAGACAGATGAATAAATCTGTGTTATCTCTAGAAACACTGTCTTTTGCATGCCCTTGCCATGGGTTCTTCTTTTTTATCTTGATTAAACAATGCAAAAGGGTCTTAATGCTAAGTAAACCACTCTGTGATCCCTTTACATTGTTAAAGCAGTGGATGTGACTGTGGTGTTAACCGTAACATTTTCTTTTCTTCCTATGTATTTTCTGATGACAAGCTTTGTGCATGTAAATGTATATGGCAGTAGTCTGTATTGCTGTTACACAGTAATTTAAGGCCCAAGGAATATCCTTTCCATTTGTGCAGCTCTGTTCTGGCAGTGACATGGACCTTTATATAGTAATAAATACAGTTTTTAGCCACTGAGTTTTCTCTTATCACATTAAAGTGCTGGTAAAGGACTTAGTGTAAATGAAACTGGATTTAGGAACTCTATGGTCCTGAAATTTGCAGAATGTGGGTTTTGACTTTAGAAAAACAAATACAGTTCATGCCTACAAGACATGCAGTTGCATACAGAGATGTCCTGCCAACTGCCTGTAAAGAGCCCTTTCTAGTCCACTGTGGATTTTTTTCAATTCAGAATTTTGGACTCTTTAAAAAAAAAAAACAAACAAATAAACCCCCCACAAATCAAAAAGCAAAACAACACAGGAAGAAAATTAACACCTCCCCCCAAAATGTACATGAATGGTAAACTTGCCATCACAGTGGTCTGCTGTTCAGTGATGCAGAATGATGTGGTGATATGTGTACCGGCAATACAAGTCTCCCTTGCTGCTTATTTGTGTGCATCGTGCCTGTATTTCCACCTGAATATAGTTGCTGACATTGAAGGAATGGCTTCAGAGGAGGCATAGCTAGGGCTCATGAATGCTGTATTTGCAGCATACTTCTTTTGTAATTGGGTGATATACAGTCTAGTTATGTAAAAACATGTAGTTTGGGGATTATTTGTATTTTTCTGCATTAAAATCTGCTTTACTTGTTTCAAAGTTGTGGAAGCTGATGGCTTACTTCAGTAGAGTTGACCTTTCTGAAATGGATGATTTACCAGGTTTCACACACATAATGAAACATGTAGCTGAGCACATAGAAATCCTTCTGCAGCCTGAACAGCTCTTTGTGCATCTATCTTCCCCAATAACAAAAAGAACAGAAGGAAATGGATTGCTTTCAGGTCCCTGGTGTGAATTCAGATGGGAGACACTGATGAGGTATAGCAAAAAAGAAGCGTTCTACAAAATGCCTACTGCTGGTGACTTGTAGCTGAAATGATTAAAATGCTCTGCTTCCTCTGGCCTTCATTTAGCATATTGCCTTCCTCAATCAGGTTTGAACATTTCTGAAGATTTGTTTTAATGTGCAATAGGAGCACATTGCCCTTGGAGGGGAGGAAAGAGGGTGTTTCAATCATTTTCATTAGCCATCTATCACAAAAGTGATGCCTAAAGTCTCACAGCTACCAATGCTCACTCGAGCTGGAAGCAGCTTCAGATAAGCCTCCAGGCTGCCTTCTGACCTGTCCTTCGTAATACACCAGGGCTGCATCAGGCTACATAGCCAGGTAGGCTCCCTTCTTTAGCTTCATTAGCTACAGATTCAGCAGGATTTTTAAGCTGACCTTTAAAATGGGAACAGTATTTTTCTGCTTCAAATGAGAACAAAGCTGTAGAACAGTATTTTGAACATATTTCATTGAGTTTTGAATGTGTATTTAAAGTGAGCCTACTTGTTTAGAGATGGACTGTCTAAGCACTTTAAGTAATTGCTATATAGAGCACAGCAACAGATGGTAAAAGTGATCTGAAGGCTCAAAAACCTCAAGAAAAGGGTGAAATCTTCTTTCTGCTTAATCCCTGAAAATTTTACCATAAACTTCCAGGGGTCCACAATTTTACCTGCATAGTTTCATTGAGAATACCAAATCACAATAAAGGAAATGCAACACATGAGAAATAGAGCAGTGCATTATAAAACTCATTATTACCTTCAATGGCAAACGGTTTCCCCACAGTTAGAAGCTTGCAGTCAGCATCTATTGATACTTCATAATCTAAAAGTGCTTTATCCATGATGAAGGCATCGAGTTTCTCTGGATCATGCCTGTATTCAACATCAAAGTCAGAAACAGAATCACTTCACAGTCTGAGACTCAGTGATAGTTGCTGAACATTTCTCTATGTAATTCTCTGGAAGATTACTGAATGAATACAGAGACCAGGGACTGCTATTTGCACTCCTGCATTTAAAATGCAGAACTGATTTGTATTTTGAAGAACAAAAATGCGCATGAAATACAAACTCTGTGTGAACTAGGCATGGGACTTATTTTGCTCCCATGGAATACTATTGATCTGAAAGGTGGCAAATACTACATTATGTTAGACTTTTGACTCAATTGAAAGGTTGCATAAAGTTTTATTGGAAAAGATAAAAAGATTGCTAAAATACTAGCGCTGCCTTGGTTTCTTTGCAATGTTAAAGTTATAATCATTAAGCAAACATGCAGGAGAATAACTCATTCAAAGATGTTTCTCCTCCTTTCCCCTTGAATATGAGGCAGATTAATTCCCTTCACCTAGATCAGCTTTTCTCTATGTTCATGAACACAGAGGACTGAATTTTAATAACACAATCATTTATGAATAGCATGCTTGCATAAAACGGTGATATAAAAGAATAGTTGCAGTGCCTATTTTCATCAATCCAGGGACTGAACTCTCCACTCTTTTCACCTCACAGGACCAGGTGTTCTCCTGATATGAAGTTACTTTACTTCATTGATTTTGATGGACAGATTCCAGTTTAAGTCAGAGAAACTTCCATGTATCTTAATTATCATGAAGAAGGGTCTGGGAAAAATACGTAAACAGGAAACAACTTCTGGTGGAAAATTCTCAAGCCATCTGTTATGCAACTTCTATGTGTAAAATGAATGAATTATTTCAGGCTTATTATCACCCCTCCTGTTTCCTGGCAGAGTAAATCAGTTGTGTGACCCCAGGTTGTTAGGCACAAATGCCTCTGAAACACAGCAATACCATGAGTCCCTAAGGCAAGAAGACTTGGTGTTTATTGCTTTTAAATCAGTCTAATATTTCTTTTAGTCATTTTAATGATACATGTTTTAAGGTTTCTCTCCAAGAATCGTCTCTCCTCCCAGCATGCTGAAGATGCTGGGGAACCTCATTTGCAGCTTTTGCTTGGACTGTGAGGTTTTTTCCTGAATGTTTCTGCCTGTTGAAGGGCTCCAAAGCACAGAAACATGCCAGGATTTATACATTGCCCATGCTCGATCACACCCTAGCAGTTAGTGTGAAGCACTTCTCCCCTGGGAACACTCCAGCTGGTGCTACGCTAGCTTTCTTTCCAAGTATCACTCCCTCCAGGTAATTACATGCTTTCCTCTTCATCTGCCACACTCCCCTCAATGACTGTTTTGTGGGGTAAGTGATACTGAAAGTGGGAAACCCATCACCATCTCACTTCCATGCATTCTGGTCAAGGGACCAGATTTGCTGTTGCATGCAGAGGCTCACTTTAGATATGCCACTCCATCTGGGGTTGCAGGGACATTGTACCGTCTCATGTACTCGTGCATCTCTGGGAAGCTTTGCCTCACATAGTCTTCTGCGCTGCTTTCTCGCACGGTTCCAAACCGAAACCCTTGGGATGGGTGGTGGAGCTGAGGAGATGAAATTACAGATTAGCAGAGTCATTTGTCTCCTTCACATCTGGTATTTTGGTCTGCTATGTTAACAGTTTGTCAGAAATTCTCAGCCTTCACAGACCTGCCTCTGATGTTTTCCTGCCATCAGTTTTCCTGATTACAGAGAGAATTTGAAAATACTTACCAGGTGGCTGATTAACCTGTTTGTGTAATATCAAGATTTTCTTTAAATGTAAAAAACATTTCCCTTGAGGCACCCTGAATCCAGGTTTCTAGTTGGCTTGTGTTTAAATAAATCAGTGTTTGGGGAAGTGTTATGAGAAGCCTCTATGCTACCTAGTATCCACTTTCTGGTGCTAAGAATAACCAGTGAACGACCCTCAGTCTGGATTTGCTTTAGCAGGATGTCTTTTATTGATTCCTTAAGAATGAGATTTAAGAATCTTCTGCAGAAAGGATACCACAACCATTTCCCTTCTAGAAGCCTAGACATCCTACCACAGACTGCTGCTGTCTTTGCTGCCATTCTTCACAGAGAATCTCAAGACTGAAGTGTTGTGGATATCAAAATGTCTCCACTGGGAGCAAGAAGCTCCCCTTAGTACCTCTCACCAGAGCCAAAGCTGTAAGCTTGATTACTGGGCTGTACACATACAGAGAATTTTTGCACTTCTGTGTCCTTTCCTTCTCACAACTGGCTCCACCTGCTGTATTAAACCCCCAAGTAGTTTGGACCTTCACAAAAGTTCCAAAAGTTTCTGTTTCTGAAGAACCCTGCTTGTCTTTGGAATGTTTAGTGACTCATGGGGAAATTCTCACATTGCAGTGGAGGTGTCAGGCAGTGTCCTCTACTATGCCAAGCACTTGGCTAAGATGGCTGAGTGTTGCCAAGATCATACTAATTGGAAAGCCTCCAGCAATGTACCAGCCTCTAAAATGTGGAACTTTCAGAGCACAGAAAGCCAAATAAAACTAAGGCTGAAGTAGTCATGCTCTATTTGCTTCCCAGGAAGCTCACGGTCTTCACAGCAGCTTGCAAAGATGATTTCACCATGGCCATGCTCTGCTTTGCAAAGACCACACAAAGAGGTGTTCTTCTGGTCCATCTGGCTCTCTGCATCATTACCTATAGAAAACAGTGTAGGGCAACACAAAGCTGTACAAAAGACATTTCCCACTGTTCTCTTCAATGACGCCATGGATGAAAAAGTGTATTTAAGAATAACAAAGGTTGGATGTAAACGCAGAGTCATCTGGTTCAGTGTGAAAAGGAACAGAAAAAGATCTTTTGGATGGTATTTCAGTGTCTTGGAAGATATTAATATACTGCCTTTCTGCTAATTTTCATCTGTAAAGTGGGCAGGTACTTTCCACATCGTGCTCTGCTGATCAGGTCCCAGTGTTGCAACCCAGGAGCAAGACTGTTGGCACAGAGGAAGTCCTGCTATGTTTTCAGAGGTGTTCTTGACTTGACCACAGAACAAGCAATGCACAGTGTACCTCCATCTGGAGCTGGCCATAGTGATGTGCCAGAAGGACTGTGGGCGCAAAGGGAAATGTTCCTGCCTGCAAGTGTGGAAGCAACATTCAAGTGCCAGAAGACATAAATAGCAGAGAGCTGTGCTGTGACAATACATCATGGAGACTTCCAGCACAATGCTGTCAACCCAAATCTAGGTCTGCCCTAGAGACATTGAAGATAACCTGCTTGAAGAGTAAGTTTAGAGTGGGTTCCATACACTCAATGCCCCAAGAAACTTATGGTCACCACAGTCAGCATTATTTTTTTGGTTTTATTTCTTGGCAGTTTCAGTGAAGAAACTGAAAACCCAGAGTCTCAGAATTGAACCATAGTGCCACCTTCCAAGCCAACTTAGGTGTTGGTTGTGATATTTGTGGCCCACCTAATGATGTCAAGTGCAGCTGGTGATCCTGACTTCACTGGAAAGCATCCCTCAATCAGAATGTCACCAGTGTCTACATCTAGATAAATATTTAAGCCTCTGTGAGAAAGACTAGAACAAAAGGGAGAGCGAACTGCACCTTCATGCAATTTTCTGTTCCAAATGCTTTATTGAGGACTGTCCATGCTTTGCTTTGTGTTGGGCACTTTGTCAAATTTCACCTCAAAAGGTGACAATATTGGAACATGTATTAGATTAAAATTCCATCTGGCTTAATATCCTGTTGCAAGCAACACCATATGTCTGGTGGGAAGTCTTGGAAAGTCTATGTAAGGAAGTTATGTAGTGATCCCTTGCATCTTATGCTCTACTTGCTTCTGGTAATCTATGCTTTCTTAAGCATAATTATTTGTTTGCAACTCTGTATTTGATGACTCTTGACTCCTTTTATGAAGGATAAATCTTAATAGTGTTTTAATCCTCTATGCCTTTTGGGACTTCCAGTTTTTTTGTCACTGCTGCCTATCCACATGTGGAAAAGGTTTGCTTGCAGCTTCATGAATAGTGGATTAACAATGCAAAATGATGCCAAAAGGAAATAATGGACTACCTCCACTGTCTTTGCTGCTAATCTACTAAGACTGCGAAGTGTCACAGAGGATAAAAACCTCATGACAGAAACAAGGCTCATCAGTTGTCACTGCCCCTTTCTTTTTGTAGCCCTCTCCTGGGAAGAGTCTATGAAAAGATGGAAACCAAAAATATCTCTATCCCGACATTATAGGTAAATGTCATAGTCTTCCTGTGAGTCTTGCCTTATTAGTTATCTCTTTTTTTATCTTTTCTGTTTCTCATTTTCTGTTTCGTGTTTCTTGCATTTTAAGTGTCCTATATTGAAAGAGTCAGTCTTTCAGTTCTCTTTAAACTACTACAAAATCCTAATATTTAGGGCTTCAGAGAAATCCTGAACTCTGAAAAATTAGCTTGTGAAGAGTCACAATTTTAAGAATCAAGATTTTTTTTTTTTTTTTAATTAACCGGTGATTTGTGGGAGACAGTTACATTCTTATCAGAAACAGCAAATATGAAAGCTATCTTACTGAGAAGGAATAGTTCTCAAAATTTACTGGTATGTGGATACTACAGTTCAGTGTATAGTCCTGTGTTTTTTCATTCAAAGTTCAGTCAGTGTGAAGGTGAATAACCATCACAAAGCTGGTGATGGATGGACAGTAGGACCGTTTGTACTTTTTGCATCCATAGAGAAGCCAGAGATTTGCTAGTGATTCAAGTATAATTAAAAATGAATGAATGCAATAGCTGCAGATCCATCCCCAGACATGAGTCTTCTTGGCACTCAGGTAACCTTACAAGGTCCCTCCAAAATCAGACATCTATGGCTGTAACAAACCAAAACAGCATTTGTTTTGACCTAGAGAGCCTTTCAGGAAAAACTGAAGTCTCGGCTTGTCAGTTCCTTGAACCAGATGTAAAGAAAGTTATGGGTACAGATGATACATCCCTCTTCAACTGCCAGACCTCCCTTTTGAAGACCTGGGAGCAAAGGAAATCACTTGTTTTTAAAAAGGGTCACTGCTGTAGAAGGTAACTGCTCCTCAGCCAGTAGTACAGGCTCGGTACTTCCAAGCAGCCTCTCCATGTGCTGCACGGGAGCTAAGCATTGCTGCCATGTGTGGGACTTGTTAGTGTTTACTGACTAACCAGCCCTTTGAATGTTAGTTAGAAAGGCCACCACAGTGAACTGCAGACTCAGCTGAGATGCTGAGTGGGAGAAACAGGGGAATGCCAATGGCATGGGCAATGTAACTGTGTACATGAATATACAAATGGAATAGTTAAAAAACAGTGGTTTTCAGGGATTAACAAGCTATTTAGTGTTTCTGGTTAGTGGCTTTCCCCAAAAAGTTGAAGTTTCTGGCAGTTAACAAAATTTCTGCAGCTCAAATACCGGACATCACAGTTTTCGTATTAGTAAACTCAGTTCTATACCTTAAGCACTGGTGTATGCCATGAATGGTCATACTACTCAGGTGCATCCCAAATTTTTAGAACTATCTCCCCAGCCTACTGCAAGAAAGATACTGCCCAAGAAGTTGTGAGACACATAGTGACCTCCTTTTTGGATCTGGGTCAGTATGTGGGGCACACTCAAGAGATGGTCATGAGAGACCTCACAGCAAAGGGAGAGGATCTTGCTGCACAGGTCAGACAGTCGGAGAAAAGATGACCCATCTTCTGTGAAGAGAGAACTCTTGGGAGGGAGGACTAGGAAGTGCTGCTGGGAAGTTCAGGGTGAAGGTGCAGGGAAAAGGCTGAAAAGCTTTGGAAGTGAATATGCTTTTGGGAATTGGGGTACTAGTGCTGTCCCTGTGGCCTCTAAAGACAGTATCTACCGTGGGATGTATGTGCTGTGCTGGTACTTCCAGGAACAATTCTCACTGTTGAAGAAAACATACTGTGGATAAGAAAACAAACAAAGGGTAATGTTTTCTTACACTAAGAAAACAAGGGGTAATGTGAACACCTCCAACTGCTGAGGAGGTGAAGTGGTTGTTGGGTCACTTGAGCAGGTCAGGTAGTGTAAGACAGGCAGGTCAAGTAGTGTTTATGAAACTCAAGAGCTCCACAGAACATCTAGCTGACAGTGCCAGAAAAAACCTTAGAGAGTTCTCGAGAGTCTTCTGTACCTTGTATAGCATTGTGCTACTAGACAAATGATGTTTATGCTGCTTACTGCCAAAAGTAGATACTGCAGCTACCAGTTTCCTTGGCTTGGCACTTCTAGATCTTCTTGGTTTCTGTCTTCTGTTGTTACCACATCTGCTGAGTAGGAAGTGGAAAACTTGTTTTATTTGGGAAGATATTGAGAAGAATTTGATATTTGCATACATCTATGGCTCGGGGTGCCAATTATGCATGAAAATACCAATGTGAGAAAACCACAGGAGCAAGAACAGGAAAATACACTCCTGAATGTCAAGATTTTGCATTACTTGCCACATTCCAGTTTACGTCAAACAGTGCCACTACATTCAGTGCCATCAGCTAGGCTGAGAATGCCTAGACTCAGACTTGAAAAGACTCAAACAT